TGCCTCCGCCTCCCAAGTAGCTGGGACCACAGGCACCCGCCACAACGCCCGGCTATTTTTTGGTTGCAGCTGTCATTGTTGTTTGGCGGCCCGGGCTGGGGATTCGAACCCGCCACCTTAGGTGTACATGGCTGGCGCCTTAGCCACTTGACCCACAGGCGCCGAGCCTTTACCACCTCTTGCTTTTAGAATTTCTACTGCAAGATGGTGTTCGTAGCACTGCAGAAATGAACACAAAGTATTCAAAAACAGTAGCTACCGTCATTATTACAGATGGTCAATATTTAAGAACCTGAGGGAGGAACACGACTAAAATCCTTATTGTGAGGCGACTCCGCAGGAATAGGTGCGCCACCCGAAGCCCCGGCTCTCCGCCACCCAAAGGCCGCCGGCCTCGGCCAGGGGAGAGCTGGACGCAGCCCTAGCCCGGTGCCCACGCACACGCCCGCCAAGCCCCGCCCCGCCCGGCCCTCGGACCGAGATCCCTACCTCCATAACTTACGGCCCGCGCCGCGGCGCGCGGGAATGACGCACGCGCCCCCCTTCCGGCCTGCCGAGAGGCTCCTCCAGGCACTTCCGGTCGCACGCGGCGCAAGCGCGAGACTTTCGCTCTCGCGGGAAGTGGTGTAGGCGTTTGGTGGCCGAGGCAGCGGGTGAGGCTGTATAGTCCAAGACCGAGGACGAGATGGAGAAGCGAGGCCGAGGCGGAAAGCCGCCCCAGACGCCGACGCCTCAGCAGGCGCCTCCGATGCCCAAGAAGGAGAGGAAGCCTAGCATGTTTGAGAAGGAGGCAGTGAGTGCGGGGCTGCCTCCCGCTCCTTCCTCTGTCTGCGTCCCAGGGCGGGTGGGGGCGGTGTCTCGGCCCGGAGCGGGAGTCCCGCCCTGGCCCGTCCGAGGGCTGGTCGGGTCCGCTTGAGTTCTTCTCGGACTTGTGGATTTCCCGGGACAGCTGCGCGTGTTGTTGCTTTTTACAGGAACACATAATTTTAGTGTGTTTAAGAGTCGTCACGCATACAGAGGCAGATTTGCCAACCAGAAATAAGTGTGTTTATACAGTGTTTAAAAAAAAAAACTGAGCAGGAGAATGAGATGTTTTGAGTTTTTTTTTAAGATATCGGCAGTCTAGTAATAAGCTAGATAAAAAAGTTAAATTGAAAATATTCTGTCCATTAATTTGTCTGATAGTTCAGTTTTTAACACCAGCTTTTCTGTATGATATTTTGAAAATTATTAGTCTTGAAGACTCCCTCTTTTATTGAAACTTGAAAAGTAATTTGACCAAAGATGCAAAACTGTATGATGATAGAACTGAGACTAGAAGCAGTGTCCTGGGGCGCATTACATTTGTCTATAGTGATTTCTTTCCGTACCTATTTCATCATATTCGTAGATAGGCAAAGCAATTTTTGAAGATCTTAGACATTTCAAGATTGCTCCCAAAAAACAGAATTCTAAAGAAAAAAAGTAGTGGCAGCATTTCAGATTCTAATGATGTCTTTGGTGTCTACGTTTTATGGAGAAAAGAACTAAAGGAAGGAAGGTAAACAGACCAAGTTTACACAGCTAAGAAAGACCAGAGCAAGGCTAGAAACCTAATTCTGCTGGAATTCAAACTTCACTCTCCAAACAGTCCTGTAGTGCCTGGTGATAAGTCTTGAGTTACAGATCACCAGCCGTGAAGAAACATTTCTATATTTTGAGACAGACAAGGGGACCTTTATGAACTTAAAGCCTATGAAATTCTGAAGTGGTTTTGAAAAGTGAATTAGTCTAAACTCAAAATGAGACACATAGGTGTACTTGGCATGTAATCTAGGAGTGAAAGGACATGGGCCAAATCAGCTGTTGCTTATTTGATATGGATGTGCTACAGCTATCTTTAAAATCTACTTTTTCTAGACTGAATATAACCATTAGATTAAATAGACCAATAACTGGGAAGAAATTGAGAAGATTCCACAAGTGCTCATTAAATGTATCTTAAGACACTGAGTCATTTCTCACTTTCAGCTCATAATTTCCCTATTTCTGAGCATCGGAAAAATTAGGACACAGTTTAATCAGTATGAACATCTCTTGATTTTTATCTGTCCTGCATCCAATTTTTTTCTCCTAGTGGTAGCATGTCAGGTTAATGTTAGAGAAGTAACTCATTCCCACTTAGATAGTTCTGGTGAGATTGTCAGCCACTTTCCTCAACTTTGTAGTGAAGATGAGACTAGCTAGGCTAATTGGATGAACTCTGGAATAATACAAATAAAATGGTTGGGGATTATTCAATGTGAAGATGGTAAGCTGAAATGTTCTGTGTGACTTTCAGAATCTGGTTCTTTAGCCTTCTCTTCCATTCTGTGAACTTCATACCTTCCCAATAAATTACATTTTTGATTAAGAAGAATCAGTTTATGTTACTTGCAACTGAAAATCACAAACCTTAAGCAGTTTACCCAAAATTGAAAACTTTGATTAGTTTCACTTGTGTACATACATTAGCAATCTTAAACACTGGCAGATAGCATTTAGACATAAAATTAAGGGTATCTTATGGTCAAGCTCAGTTTCTTTGGGGGATGGTAGGTAAGCTTAGTGTAAGGAAATGCCACATCAATATGTTAAATAAGTTTTCATAGATCCCATACAAGTATCAGTACAGTAGGCCTAATTCTTTATGTTGACCACCTCTGTAGTTGACCAGTTTGTTACAGTCCCTTGGGTGGTCAACTTACAGAGGTTCTACTGTATATAAAGCTTGTTCCTATTTTTTTTAATTACAAGATTCTTCCTTAAAGGAATAAAGTATTCTTAATGAGTATATTAAATCAGATGGTGACTATTATACATAAAGAAGAAATGGTAGAGATGTGAGTTCTCAGCATAGTAGACTCATTAATAGCTGCTTTCAGGCCACACATTCATGCCCCTTGAGAACTGATGCACTTAAGAGTCACTGTTAATGATAGTCTGTGGACATGTCCCTTGAGTATGTTGTGGAAAAGAAGATGGCAATCACTTTCTTAGAGAAGCATTCTCTTAATAAAAAAAGACCAAAATGATTTGTTTTTTTAGGAAGTTTAGGGAGTTAATAATGCTGCTTCTATAATTAAAAGGTGCAGAAGTCTTAACGAGTGATCAAAACAGATTTTGATGAAGGACTTAACAGTCAACATGCAGTAACTTCTACCCCAAATTACTTAAAAGTAACATAAAAATGTATGGAGCAATTGTTTCTCTTGTCTGAATATCAAGCAACATAGGATAGTAATACCTGAGAGAAGTGGGTAAGGTGAACCCCAGTGTTGACCCTAGTTTAACTGACTGGTGAGAGTGTCCAGACCATAATGCAAGGAGGGGTCTTCCTCAGTTGAACTAGGAGTCTGGGAAGGTCAAGATAGTGGGTGAGACTTGAGGGACAAGTGTTGGAAAGGACTGGGCTGCACAAATAGCTGCCGAGATTGGTAGAAAGTTGCCCTTGAGTCTTCAGCTTGGTGTATCAGTGCATCTGGTAAGGACACCACCAGCGGTGGAGAAAGAGCCACCTGAAAGGAAAAAAAAAAATCCTTGGACGCACATGAAATAGTTTATGTTCAAAGAACTAAAAGTGGAAAACCATAGGGCTTTGGTCTGAATGCTAAAAAGTGTATTGCTTCATTAGTGTGGGGAAAATAAATATCTCAGACTTAAAATGTTTTCTGGTCTGGCCTATCAAAGCTAAAATGCAAGACCCAAGAGGATTAAACTGTTTGCAATTATTATAGCCTAGAAGAAAGCTCAAGAATGTTTTTAGCAATATAAAAATTCCCAGCATATGGGAAGGTAAAATTCGCAGTATCTAATCTCCAATATTAGGAGACCCACAAAGAAGCAAGAAAATAAACTACAAAATGAGAAGAAGCAATGAAAACAGGTTCCAAAGTGACATAAAATTGATATAAAAATACATTAAAGTAGTTATGTTTTATTTCCATCAAATTGGTCATTCTATAATATGAAGTAATTATAATTACATTCCATATATTTAAGTATATAGAGAAAGATTCATAGTGTTAAATCCAAATCAAACTTCCACAGTTGAAAAGCACAATGTCAGAGATGAAAATACAGTGAATGGAATTACCAGCAAATTCAAAACTGCAGAAGAAAGGACTAGGTAATTGAGATGTAGAAATTAGGGTGAGGGGAGCCTGAGAAAATATTAGAAGATAGCAGAGCTATGGGAGAGCTTCAAGCAATTTAATGTTCTTATAATTTGAGTTTCCAAATGAGGAGGTGAGGAAGGACAGAAGATATTTGAAGAAATAATGAATGAGAAATTTCAAAATATGAAAACCATAAAGCCACAAATCCAAGAAGCTTAGTAAACTATATGCACAGAAAGTATGAAAATTATGCCAAGACAAACTTGCTTGAAACCAGTGATATAAAAAATGTAAAGACAAGTAGGAAAAAAAAACATGTATGAAGAAACAAAGGTAAAGTGAGAGATGTCAAAATCAATGCAAGAGAGAAAACACTGAGGCATCACCTTTAAGTACTTAAAGTAAATGACTATGAACCCAGAATTCTATACCAAGCTAAAATATCTTTAAAAAACAAATGTAAGGCTTCCAGTCGTGCGTGTCCCTACACATCACAATTCTGTCCTAACAAAGTAACAAGCTGAACAAACTGAAAAATAACTTTTCTTAGATTCATAAGAGAAGTGAGGTGACAGAAAACTTGGTGCCCCCAAAATTAGAGTGACAGGTGGATACAGAGAATCACAACATACTAGAGCAGAAATCATAGGAACCAACATCAAGGTTGGAAAACCTCAAATGAAATTGATAGTTTGCTGAAGGCTAGGAGTGGACAGTTCTCAAGTTAAAAACTTCAGGATGACTCTATCTCAGGGTGGCCCCATGTTCTTGAGTTTCACCTCCAGGAGTTAAACCAGGATACCATAGTAAATCTCAGAGAAAAACTCTTTTTTTTTTTTTTTTTTGAGACGGAGCCTCAAGCTGTCCCCCTGGGTAGAGTGCCATGGCATCACACTCACAGCAACCTCCAACTTCTGGGCTCAAGCGAGTCTCCTGCCTCAGCCTCCCAAGTAGCTGGGACCACAGGCGCCCGCCACAACGCCTGGCCATTTTTTGGTTGCAGCCATCATTGTTGTTTGGCGGGCCCGGGCTGGGGATTCGAACCCGCCACCTTAGGTGTATGTGGCTGGCGCCTTAGCCGATTGAGCCACAGGCGCCGAGCCGAGAAAAACTCTTAATAAGACAACAGGTGCAATGAGACCACTTTGAAATATGCCAGAGTACTTTGTTGTTAACAAGATCTGCTCTTAGGAGAACTAGTTAAACAGAGTCAAAACTGCTGGGATTTTGCAGAGGCTCACTGACATGGGGTAAGGGAAGTACTCAACTCTAGCCCTCTAGTCATCCTGTCCCACTTAAGAGGGGAGAGAAAAAGAAACCCCTGAGAAATATTTGTGAGGTTCAAAGTGAAGAAGCACAGGCTTGCTAAAAAAACAAGTCCTAATTATAGAACTATGAAATGCTTCCTTTCCTCCCATACGTTATTGGTACATTACTAGATGTCTAGTAGCTGTTTCTTTTTTTTAACCCAGTGAGTCATGTCTGGCTATCAGGAAAAAATTATAGCATTTATTAATAGATGCAGAGCAAACATCAGAATCAGACATAGCAGAGATGTTGGCACTAAGTTAAAATAACTATGATTAATACATTAAGGGTTCTAGTTGATAAAATAGCATGTAAAAACATGAGCAATAAAAGGAAAGAAATGGATATCCTAAAAAAACTGGAAAGAAATGCTAAGAGATCAAAAACACTGTAAGAAAAGAAGAAATCGTAAGAGAAATTTTCTTTAAATTTTGAACTAAATGAAAAAAAACCCCAAATTTAAAGAATGCTGCAAAAATGGCCTAGAAAAAAATTTATAGCCTTGAATGCATGGATATATGAAAAAAGAAGAAAGATGTAAAATAAACTATTAAGTTTTTATGTTAAGTAATTAGTAAAATCGAATTAAATCCAAAGTAAGCAGAAGAAAAACAATAAAACTTTTAACAGAAATCAATGAAACTGAAGAAGGAAATCAATAAAACCAAAAACTGTTTCTTTAAAAAGATCAATGAGCCTCTAGCCAGGCTAAGAAAAAAAGTATGACACAAATTACTAGTATCAGAAATACAAGAGAGAACATCACTAGAAATTCCCTGGGTATCAACAGTGTAATAAGGGAATATTATAAACTCTATGCCCACAAATTTGATAATGCAGATGGATGGACCAATTCCTTAAAAGACAGTCTGCTGTAACTCACACAAGAAGATAGATACAATCTCAGTAGGTCTATACCTATTTTTTTAGTGAATCAATAACCCTCCAAAAAAGAAACTGTTCGACCCTAACTAACCCTCCAAAAAAACTGTCAGACACAAATGGATTCATTGGTGAATTCTAAATATTTAGGGAAGAAATACCAGTTCTCTACAGCAGTGGTTCACAACCTGTGGGTCCCGGCCCCTTTGGGGTTTGAATGACCCTTTCACAGGGGTCACCTAAATACATCCTGCGTATCAGATACTTACATTACGATTCATAACAATAGCAAAATTACAGTTATGAAGTAGTAACGAAAATAATTTTATGGTTGGGGGGGTCCACCACAACATGAACTATATTAAAGGGTCACGGCATTAGGAAGGTTGAGAACCATTGCTCTACAGACTCTGAAGATAGAAGCAGGGAAAATACTGTTTAACACAACTCTAGGATGTCAGAATTACCTCCATAACAAAGCGAAGCAAAGACACTTCAAGAAAAGAAAACTAAAGGCCAATATTTCTCGTTAACGTTGAAGCAAAAATCCTCAACAAAATGCTAGCAAACCAAATTCAGCATTATATTAAAATGATCGTCCACCATGACCAAGAGAAATCTATCCTGAATTGTAAAAATGGGTCAATATATGAAATGATCAAGTAATACACCACATTAACGGACTGGAGAAATAAAGCATACAATCATCTCAGATGATGAAGAAAAAGCATTGACTAAATTCCACTAAACACGCAACAAATGAGTAATGGAAGGAAATTACTTCAACATAATAAAGGCCATATATAAAAACCCACAGCAAATCTTGTATTCAATGATGAAAGACTGAAAGCTTTTCCTCTAATGTTAGGAACACAGCAAGGATGTCTTCTTATGTCACTTCTATTCAACACAGAATTGTTCTAGCCAAGCAATTAGACAAGAAAAAGAAATTTCTGGATGCTATTGAAGTTCATCACTTTAAGATGTGTTAGGCACTAAATATGTTTTTAGTGCATGTTAGAAGTCAAAATCATGGATTGATAATCTTTTCCACTCATGAATGTATTACCAAATAATTATTTAAAGATAAAAGTAACACAAAAAAGCTTTTAAGACAATAAGGATAATACTTTTATAACAGGAGCAGGAAAGGTTTTCCTTACATCCCTGTTCTCTAGCCATTCAGTTGTCATCTCTGCAGGCTGCTCCTGTTTTTATTTCTTCTGGATCTTTTATGGATATTCTAAATATGTGCATATACTCTGTGTGTATTTCTGTGTCTAGAAAAAAAGATTTTTTCCCCTTCTTTTGCAAAGGTGATAGCCAAGAGTGAATCTAGGATTCGGTGACCACATTATAAAAATCTGTTACAACATTGCGAAGATGTATGTCCTCCCTGTCCCAGTGTACCAGGGTACTTTAATCAGAAATTTCATTGTATAATTTAAAAAGTAACATGTTTTACACTCTTTTTTTCTCCCTCAACCACCCTTCCCCCACCCAGTATGCACAGATTTTGAGAGAGAGACTAAGAGATTCTGTCCATGATGTTCAGTATGTGGAGCCTCCCTTCGATGACTCAATTGCTGATATAGGTAAAGAATGGAAGAGTGCCCTGGCAAAGTTAAAGTTTGCTAATTCATATAGAATGGAGCCATTGAAGAAATTCCAAGCTCATTCAGTAGAAATTAAAGTCCAGCAGATATTGACGGTAGGTTGATAAAGTATTTATTAGGGTTCTCTAGAAAAACAAAACTTACAGGATATTATATATATTAGAAGATTTATCATAGGAATTGGTTCATCCAATTTGGAGGCCTGGAGATCTACAATCTGCTTTCTGCAAGGTGTAGAACCAGGAAGCCAGTGGTGTAATCCAGTCCTAGTCCAAAGGTCTGAGAAGCAAGGGAGCTGATGTAAGTCCCAATATTAGTCTAAAGGCCCAAGAACGTATAGTGCTGACGTCCAAGGGCAGAAGATGATGTCCTAATTCAAGCAGAGAGTACATTCTCCTTTCTCCTACCTTTGATTTTGCTTCAGGTCCCTGGTGGATTGGATAATGCCCATGTCCACTGGTGAGGGTAGTCCTTAGTCTGTTGATTCAGGTGTTAAAGAGTCTTCCAGAAACCCTTCACAAACATGCCTAGAAATAATGATTTACTAGCTAATCTGGGCATCCCTGATCCCAGTCAGGTTGACAGATAAAATTATCACCATTATCTGATTATTAAGAATGATGACAGTATAATTACCCTGACTGATTTTTTTGTAGGTTTATCTTTGAAAATATCAAAATAAATTTTAGTCATACTCAATGATTTTCCCAGTGATGCTATAAGCTAGATTAAAGGAAATTTTACTTTGTTATGTCACTCAATTTTATCTGAAAGTTATCCCTCAGATCTCATGTTTCTCTCATATTTGGAGAAATAAATTTAAAAACCATATTGAATATGTACATATGTATGAGAAATTTGTTTCTTTTTTTTTCTTTTAATAAGAGACAGTCTCATTTTATTGCCCTTGGTAGAGTGCCGTAGTATATCACAGCTCACAGCAACTTCAAACTCCTGGGCTTAGGTGATTCTCTTGCCTCAGCCTCCCGAGTATGCTGGGACTACAGGCACCCGCCACAGTGCCTGGCTATTTTTTTGTTGTAGTTTGGCCGGGCCAGGTTTGAACCCACCACCCTTGGTATGTGGGGCCAGTGCCCTACTCATTGAACCACAGGTGCCACCTGAAATTTGTTTCTGAATACATTTTTTTACCTTGTTTTTACTGTATCTGAGTTTTTAAAAATCTTAAAAACAGGTGGTTTCCAATTTTGATTAGAACCTAAAGTCCATTTAAAACTGTTGTTTGAAACTCAGACATATGTTTTCAGGCCATCCTAGTTTTAAGCTTCTTCACTTTTGCATAACTAATACTGTGAAACTAATACTAATAGTATTTATACTGTTTTGTTATTTGAAGGCTAAATTTTTCAGGTGGAAAGACTTGCCCTCACCATCTTTCCTAATAAAGGACCACATTAGACATTTTTTAATTATGTAAAATTTGTTTGGAGGACCCATTTTGTGGATACCCTTTTCACCTTCGGTCCCTACTTTTGGGCTCCAGGCCCCAGGAGTTTCCTGATTACCAAGTTCTTTTTGTGAGATTCTACCCCAGGCATCCTTAAACTATGGCCCACGGGCCACATACGGCCTACCTAGGACATTTATCTGGCCCTCTGGGTATTTTTGCTGCCACTGCCTGTCCTGCTTAGCAGCTGACTCATCCCAGGGTCGCAGTCTGGCCCTCCAACAGTCTGAGGGATGGTGAACTGGCCCCCTGTTTAAAAAGTTTGAGGACCCCTGCTCTACCCAGATTAATCCCATTAGAGATATGTTTGCTTTTTTAAAATGACTGACATCCTCCCCATACACTTGACAAGATGTGTTCCTTCAATAACAACTGGTGTGTGCTGGCTGTTGGGAAGAAAGCATACTATTTTGTGTAAATGGCTAATGTCCTTTTAATCATATCAAAGGTCATCCTTTAAATGAGAACCTTTATTAATTAATACAAATTATGTTCTCATTGGTATAAGTTAAGATTGTGTGACAAGTGAGCAGCCATCTAATAAAGGAAAGAAATGTGGGGCTGTGGGCTCCCTAAGGAAGTAGATTCAACCCTGCCTGGCAAGTATCCCTAGTATTGACTCTTCTGCCTCCTGTTCTCCAAAGACTTTTCTATCCCTGGCAGACTTAATAAAAGTTCCTAAATTTTTTCATATGTCTTAGGAAAGAGCCAGGTGGGGCACTGAGCAGGAGAAGGGAGGTATGAGGAATGAGGACTAAATGTTGGCCTCATTTGCTAGGTGGAGACTGCTTGTGTTTAAATTTTAAATTATCTTTTTCCAGAATTTCTCAATTCTACTCATCGCTAACCCCAAAATATTCTTTGACTGTACTATTGAGGATAATGGAAACTTTTCTGAGGATCTATTTGTCAAATATGTGAATTAAGGTAGCTTGTAAAAATTTAACAGGCAAATGAAACTATCTGCAAATGTACCTACCAAAGTATTAACATGAACTTAGATCTTGGTTTAAGTAAAGAAACAATTAAAACTTCTTCTTGGGACAATTGAGAAATTTTGAATATGAATGTGAACAATACTAGATATTATGAGTTTAATTGTTAATTTTCTTGGTGTGATTTTGTAAGAGATCGCCCTTATTAGGACAGCATGCTGACGGAAACTGTCCATGACACAACCTTTTGTCAGATGGTACAACCAATAATGTGTGTTAAGTAAAAATAAATTAGGTAAGACATTCTTAAGAAGTGTTGTTCATTGTACTGTTATTTCTGATTTTATTTATTTTTGTATATTTTCATAAAAAATTGGGGAAAGTAAAATGCACAGCAATTTCTATTCTAAAAGTAGTTTAAAAATGTTCATTTTATCTGATTCCTTAAATATATTCTCTTGTATTGTTAAATTATGGACACTTAAAGTCTTTTTATTAGAAGGCTAAGATACAGGGACAAAAGAATATTTAGAAAAATATTTTGGTGGGAGGGAAAATTTCTTGCCTGCCTGATCAAATTAAATTGACATAAAACAGTTTAACAGAAGAAAACCATACTCTCATTTGGTAACTAGTGCGTGTCTGTAGAATCCTTCACAAGAAAATGAAGTCACAGAGAAGCAGTGAGAGCTTAGTTTAACAAAGAGTCTTAAAGGGTAAAAACATGATGAGACAGTGGGTTTGGACTAGGGCAGATAATTGTGGGAAAGTGACTAGGAAGATAAGGGTTAGGTTAATAAGGTTTGTTTGTACAGATTTCTGTCTCCATTCTGGTCACTAGAATGTCATTTTGCCTCCTGGTATAGGAAGGGCACATTGTGCATGGGAGTTTTATTGCTTCTTTCTAGGAAGAAAAAGGAAGGTCAGAGCATACTTTTTGCATTTGCTGTGTTTTTCAAGGGGCTTTAACTCAATCTGCCAAAGCAGCATGCTTTGGGGTGGCATATTTTGACCTCTATACCAGCTTCCAACCACCACCTACTACTATAGACACAGACACATTTGTACAATGACCAAATAATGTCAGATGATATTTTGCCAATGTATTATGGCTCATGGCTTCAGAAAATAAAGAAATTCAACTCAGTGTAATACAAAAGAGTATTTCTTACAATTATTACCTGCATCTCTGATCTAAACACTAATAGCAAACATTTATGATGTACGAGTATCTGTTTTGGTGTTTCTCTCACTTGGCCCTACCTCATAGACTGAATTTAAATTTATTGAATATAAGTAGGATTTCAGATTACATTTAATGTACGATAATTGAGTATAACGGGGCCTAGAGCACCTTATTAGGTATGTCAGTGAACGGCTAGGGATTTTCCTTTGCGTTTAGGGACAGTAGATACAGTTTGAGACATTAAAATCCAATACATTAATGGGGCTTTGAGTATCTGTTGCAAGTGTTCATTATTAAAAAGGGAGTCTTAGGTAGATAAAGCCTGGGTTCTCTTAGGTAAGCAGAAGAGCCTGGTGAGTTGGGGCTAAGCAGGAAGAAAGAGGGGTGGGCAGAGGAAGAGGACCCTTCTGACTTGGAGAACATGGCAAGTACCCTTCCTCCATAACATCTTCCTTTTAAATTGCAAGCCATCAAGGCTTTGCATGGGGCTCTGTGGGAAAACTCATACCTAAAGTCAAGAACCCAGGTAAATGCAGTAGGATAGGACAAACAGCCCCCAGCCTCAAGAGAGATTTTTGGTTATGAATAGGAAAGGGGGAGAGTATCGAAGTACTGGTGCCTATACAGTGTGGAGTACTGACAAAAGGAAGTTTGGGGAAATCTGGAAGTAGCTTCGAGCATCCCGTGGGTTTATTCTCTAGTCAGTCCTTAGAGTTCTTAAAATTATGTACTTAAGACTTAATTTTCAATTCTTGCACTTAAAGCTGTCAGAAAACTACCATGAATAGATTAAGTGGCTGCAGTAATTGCCAACCAAAGATGTCCAATTTGTCTTTTAAAACACTAGAGGAACAAACAGTTGTCACCTACAAATGTTGCTGGTTGTAGATAAGGTAAAAGATACCATTTTTTATGACAGAACTCTGATTTAGGGAAACTACCATGGGGCTTTGTGGGTCAGGGTTATAAATCTCACAGAGTCAGAGTGGTTCCTGGACAGACAAGGAGTAGATTGAGTATGTTCTCAAAGACTGAGCTTGAGCCTGAGTCAGATTCAGAGGAGAGCACAGGTTCTGCCAAGTGTCAGAAGACAGAGCCAGAGCCAACGCCAGGGGAGGAACCAGTGCTTCTAGGTGGAAGCATTCTAGAAGGTAAACAAAAAAAAGAGATACAGTTTCTTTGGCTTTACATTCTTGTGAAATTACATTCCTGGGTCCACTTGTTATCACTAGAGCCAAGAGTGCTGTGTCATATTATGTCCAGGGCACCCATACCACACCCATCTGTCAAAGGCATGTGTGGTGTACCAACAGGTGGTCCAGTTCTGCCCAACATTTGGAGGAAGAGTAATGCTTTACAGCCTGGGAGGCACCTCTATTTCCTCCAAGTGATGCATTCATTTAATTTACTAATAAATATGATTAGAAATCTTTGATTTCATTTTCATTTATTAAAGGCCGAAGAAAACAAGCAGTGGAGTGAGAAGCCACAGGGGGAGGGTTGGAAAGAAGTGCTTTTGTGCAAGCCCAGTGACAGGCTTGGGTCCAGGAGGCGGCCCTCACTTTAGGAAACCCAATTCTGAATCTTGACATATGTGTAAAATTTAAAAGGGGTTTTACCAAAGAATTTCCATAAGCCTTCCTTTAAAATTTCCCTGGTGTCTCCCTAATATTAACAACTGTTTAGCAAAGTAGTCTAATAAAGTACAGCTTACCACTTGATGATAATGAAGAATAATCAAACATAATTTAAAAACCAAAATAATTGTTTCTTTAAAATTATTGAAATAAGTTGGTAAGCAGAACATTTAATATTATTTAGTAGAAATATGTGTATTTTTAAAAAACATTTAGACATGTTTTCTACTTGGATTTTTATATAGAAAGTATTTCCTTTGAAAATAAAAACACTTTTCTTAAATTTTTTTAAAGGAAAGTCTTAAAGACGTCAAGTATGATGACAAGATCTTCTCTCACTTGTCCCTTGAGTTGGCAGATCGCATATTGTCAGCAGTCAAAGAATTTGGGTACCACCGTTATAAGTACATTATAAAAGTATTATTTATTCAAAAGACTGGTCAAGCAATAAATGTAAGTACCCCATTGATGCAGGCTCTAGCAATCGGAATTAAAGCATCTCCTCCCTAGTGAGCTGATATGTGTTGTGATGTCGACAGGGCACTCCAGGGAGCCTGAGGTGCCTCTGGAATAAAAGGATCATTTTGTTAAATAACTTCCATTTTAATTATAAATAAACTATAAATAGATTAGAATATACATTATAATGACAGATTATAAGATATGTATAACACATAATTTTAGTTAAAAATAAATTTAAAATTACTTGAAAAGCTCTAACCTAAAAATAGCAATTTGCTATTAAGAATTTATTGCATGGTTATTCTGCTCCTTGATCATACCAGTTTTTATAGTCTAATGTCGTTTAAGTTAATCAGTAAATTTCTGAGTACTAAAAGGTGTCAGGTACTGAGGAAAATATAAAGAATGATGAGACATGGATCATGCCTCTCAAGGGGTTTTACTGTTAAGAAAATAAAGCAGCGCAGTTTAGAATTTAAGGAAATTAAGTGATGCAGATGATGTAAACAGCCTGGGTTTGAAATTAGATCATATTAGCGTGAAGTGTGGCAGCAACACTCAGGGGCTGTGGCCTTGGCACAGTCTTTTCATCTATAAAATGGTGATGATAAAACTGAGCTTTTAGAACTGTCATGAGGATTAAATGAAATTGTGTATGTTAAAATACTTAACATAGTCACTAGCACAGCACCCTCAATAATTAGTAAGGTTATTATTACCATTATTTATAAATAAATAGATATCACTAGGCCTTGGGCATGTCCAGGGAGTTGGTGTATATGATAGAAAGGTAGGAACTCTGTCTGGATCCATCTGTAGAGGCTTCACTGAGGAGTGAAGGGCATGGCAGACATGCAGAGAGCTGGGGCAGAGGACGCTGGCAAAGCCACAGGCAGCAAGCAGAGGCAGCCACCTCCTGTGAAGATGCCTCCCACATACACTAGATATGCATTATGGGAGAGTCCAGATGGGTGATGAGGGCCCTACAGGGATTACACAGGGATGTGGCAGAGTGACAGACCAGCTACTTGGGGTTCTCTGCAAAAGGGAAAACCCCTCTGATGGCAGGAAAGGAATAAAGATGAGGGAGAATGTTTTCAGCACAGAAAGCTTCTAGTGCAAAGATTCTAAGGTGGGGATGAACTTAGTGTGTTTGGTAAACAGTGTAGCTGGGCTGTCTTTAGCTGGTGTATAGTGGCACTATGAATCAGTTGGTGGGGGTGGTCAGCTAATGTTACTGCACTGCAAACTACCCCAATTCTGTGGCTCAGCTTGGCCTGGGTCAGCTGCTTGCTTTCTCTGTTGGTCTTAGGGATGCACTTGCCACTCTCTGGTGACACAGCTGGACCTGGAGGGCCAGGGTGGCTTCTCTCATATGTCCAATGGTTGGTCTGGCCATTGGCAGGGGGCACCTGGGTTCTCCTACTCATGCCGTTGTCCTCCAGTTGAATGGACTTTCTGACATAGACTTGACAGCATGTTCCAGGAGGGGAAGAGCAGAAGCTGAAAGACCTCTGAAGTCCTTGTTGGAAGTTGCACAGTGTCACAGTGGTTAAAGCAAGTCACAAGGCTAGCCCACATTCAAGAGGTGGGGAAGTCAGATAACCCCTTGATAGGAGAAGCCGTAAAGAATTTGTCACTATTTTAGATCCACCACAGAGAATTGGGCTATAGTCAGATCATGTATGGTTTCTAAGTGGAGAAAAGAAGGATTTTCTACAACCACCTACTTTTCTAATTGATCAACGATTTCTTCATGTCAAGACAAGCTCTTAGCAAATTTTACTTGTAAATCTTTCACCAGCAGGAAGACTTCCTTTCCATGGATTGCACAGCAGAGTAGCAGTGTTTGCAGAGCTAGGAGGGCCATCTGTTCTTACCCTGAACATCCTGGTGAGGGAGGGTCCTCTGTGTCAGAGAGCTACCAGCCTCCAGCAGACAAGAGGGCAGGCCCAGCTAACATGCTCCCAAGTCTTTTCACAGAAAGGAAAATTTGACAAATTGCTTCTTAAATATAAATTAAAAATTAAACTAGTGTAGGGCGGCACCTGTGGCTCAAGGAGTAGGGTGCCAGCCCCATATACCGGAGGTGATGGGTTCAAATCCAGCCCTGGCCAAAATCTGTAAACTAGTGTAAATTAGAAAATCACTTCCTACTATTTTAAATCTAAGGTTGGTCTTTTAAAAATCTTTCTCACAGATTGCCAGCAGATGGATCTGGGATGTTGCATGGGACAGCTGGGTCGCAGCTAAACATGAAACTGAGTCGTATGTGGCCTTGGCCTTGGTGTTTGGTCTTTACTATGAATAGCCTGCTACATATACTCAAGAAAAGTTTACTTCTCAACTTTTCAAATATATATGAAATGTACAGATTGTAAACCATAGTGGTTTTGATTAGCTATTTTCTTATCTCTGAGGCCTTTTAATTGTATTCTTTTAACAACAAAGTAAAAGCTAGATTTTTACATTTATACTTATTAGCTATATTTATTAACAGTCTGTTTCCCCAAAGTAGTAAATATGTATGTGTGTGTGTGTGTGTGTGTGTGTGTGTATATATATATATATATATATATGAATTCTTAGAGTGGATTATAATACAGAGAAAATATCCTTTTTAGATTTAAGAAAATTAGAATTTGCTACAGGAAATTAAGATGTAATCTTGTAGAATATCAAATTATATGGATATTAAGATAGATTTTGGAAACTTCTAAGGGTAGATGGATTTTGGATGGTATTGTAATACTTTGTATTCATTCTTCTGAAAGGAAATATCAACTTTGGAAAAAAGATGTTAACAAAATACGTCCCTAACATCCTCCATTTCCAATCAAAATGTTTACAAATTTGTACTCTATTTGTTAGTTTGTTAATCAGCTCTTTTTATATGCAAGAACTGAGAAACTCAATATAATTATTTTTTAAAATAGAGGAATTTTATTTCTCCAGGTGCTTCCCCACTCCCCACAGATCTCCAGACATTTTTTTGACTCCATAGGGTTTTGTTACATTCCCATGAGTAGGCCACTCATCACTGATTTAGAGCCCACCTTCCCTAAAACATATGAAGAGGTGGAAAGTGTGGGTACAGTATACACATTAGGACTTTCCTAGCAAGAAAGCAGGAGGTAGACCTGGGGGAGGCAAGCAGGAGTGCTCCCAGTTATCAATGTGATTTTCAGAGTCACAACCAGAATGGGAAAGACCATATCAAACTGGCTGATCAGAAAAAATACCCATTAGTTGATTTTTAAAAAAATTTTTTGAGACAGAGTCTTGCCTTGTCACCTTTGGTAGAGTGCTATGGTGTCATAGCTCTCAGCAAACTCTTGGGCTCAAGCAATCCTCTTGCCTTAGCCTCCCAAGGAGTTGGGACTACAGGTGCCTGCCATGATGCCCAGCTATTTTTAGAGATGGGGTCTCCCTCTTGCTCAGGCTATCCACCCAACTCGGCCTCCCAGAGTGCTAGGATCACAGGCTGGAGTCACTGCTCCTAGGCCCCATTCATTGATTTTCTTCTCACTTATGTTTTATAATGAGTTGTGTGTCACTATTTCCACTGATGAGAGTTGAGAGAGTTGAGTACCTGAACAGAGCCAGCTGCAGTTGGGCAGGGGTAGTGGATGGACAATGTGCCTTCCTGATGAACTGGTCAGGGCAAATTAGTTGCAAAATATATTGTCTTCTAATTGTGTTGGTTGCCTCATAGATAGACTAAAATCTATTGTGTAAAGTTAGTATGTGAATTGAATGAGGTAATATATAACCCAGCCCTTATCCACAAAGCATACTGAGTAACTAAAATGTTACCTCTATTCTGTTAGGCCTGATACCTCCAAATTACCCTTAGCTCTGTTCTTTCTCTTGCCCTCAACTCCCATATATACTTAATTGTTAAATTCTATTTTAATTTTTTGTAGTGGCTCAAACTCACTTCCTTGCTTCTACTCTTGCCACTCTTTTGGGCTGGGCACTCACTTTGCTCACATTTATTTCAGCATCCCTTTTCTTTCATTTATTCATTTGTTAATTGTTGCTTCAACAATAGCAAACATCTCCCAGGTTCCAGGCACTGTGTGGGTTGTAGACTTGGTGAACAAAACAGACAAAGCCCTTGCCCTCACTAAACCTCTGTGGTATTGGGGGACTGGTATTAAGCAACTAAATATCTCCTAGTTAGAGTCAGTGCTTCTAAGGATGAATCAAGAAGAAGAATCAATGGATCTACTTTTCTTTTCCTCACATCTCCTGCCCACATGTCACATAGAAAACTGATGGTGTCATCATCTTGGAAGCCCAACTCTGATTATGCCACTCCCTGCCTTAAAACCCCTCAGTGCCCTTGACTACCTTTGGAGTAAATGCAAACTCTTTGGCCTCCTCCTAGGGTTCTTGATTCTCCATGATTAATCCTATGCTGTTTTCTGAGGGTCATTGGATTCTGAAGCAGCACTGCTCCCTGCCAGCCCCCCTGCTGTCGCTGCTGTGTCTCTGTGCACTTTACCATTGCCCCCTCCATACAGACCGCTTCCCACCTCTTCCCCCAACAAACCATGCCGAGGCTTATGAGGCTAAAGAGCGGTGCCATCACTGGCAGCCAGCAGATCATCATGCCAAATGTTCAGGACTGTATCTGGACCAATCACCCACTGGCCTTAAGGACCTATAAAGATCACTTCCATCACATGTCACATACACATCAACTTCTGTCACCACCAGAAATCTGGCTGTCCACTACCCAGATTTCTTGCTTCCCCAAGCTCTTATGGTACCTATGGAATCCCTCTTATGTGTTCATCAAACTCCTCTGGCTTTGCTCCATGTGTGTCTTGAGTTCTTTCCCTTAACAGTTGACCTGACTTTTCCCTGAGGATGAGTCCCACTGCAGCCTTCTCAAAGAAAGCCTCAGAGCCAAGAGACAGGGCAGTCAACCCCTTCCACCTTAAAAGAATTCTACTTCCTGGAAGTTTAGGCTGCCTGGACATAAAATCCTTCACCTCTGTTTGTTGCCTGCTGTTCCTGGCTTATTTCTTTTCATGTCCTGAAGACTTGAGCTACTGGATTGCAATATTCATCTTTGCTCAACTCCTGCCATCATTCCTTGTGACCTCCATATCCACATAAATGATCCAACCATCAAGGCAGTCTTCCCTGTGCACGAGGCTGGTGCATACAATGTCAGTGACACCAGTTCCCCAATAATGTGCTTCAAACATCAGTTTTGATGGTTTATTAACTGTGAGTAGTTACATGAAGAACAAGCTTCAGATCTGGCCCTTCAGGTCACAAATCACGATGTAAATAGCAGACAGACATTATCTTAGCTTGGTCTGTTAGAATGAAATGCTACAGAGTGGGTGGCTTACACAACAAATATTTGTGAAGGTTCTGGAGGCTGGAAGGTTGAGATCAGGTGCCAGCACAATGGGGACCTTGGCAAGGGCTCTCTTTCCAGGTATGTCCTTACATATGAGTGGGGGAAGACTGTGTCTCTTTCTCTCTTCAGAAAGATGTTAATCCTGGACACAGGGCTCCACCTTCATGACCTGATTTGGACTTAATTACTTCCCAAGGCTGTCCTTCCAAGTACCATCACATTGGGGATTAGGGTTTCAACAATGAATTGTGGAGGGAAACACACTCATCCCACAGAAGGCATCATAGCCATTTTTCCAGAGCCAACCCTGGGTACCTGCTATTCAGGTTTTCAGGTTATACACAGACAGCAAAATGTTCAGTTGTGTGTCTCCTTGCTTCTTGGTGATAAACTCACTTGATGTTTTACAGAGATCATCAAAAGAGGGAACTGGCTAGCAAGAATGAAAATACAGCAAATACAGAGTAATAATGCTACAAGTGAAATTAGATGTGATCAGGAAATTTGAAAAGAACAACAGGAAAACAAAAACAGGAGGCCGTGGCACTAGAGAAATCAGAGAGTACGTAGAAAAAAACAAGGTTGCTTAGCATCGTTTGTTTAAATTACACTAGAAACAAAAAGCCAATTATGTCAAGATAGAGATTTTCTCCAACTTTTGATTGAAGACTATGATACATTTTTTAAAAATACCAATCAGCTTGGCTAACATTCAGGCCAAAGTGTTGGAGTTAGTTGCCATGTTGAAAGAAAATGACTGGGAGGGGAGAACGGGTGGAGGGAGGAGGATTCGAGGGTTCACTTCTGTGGTTTATCTTACAAGGGTACAAGTGAATCTTTCTATGAGTAGAATATGAACGTTTTAACACAATAAGAAAATGACATGAAAGCTATGTTAACCAGTTTGATGGAAGTGTTTTGGATTGTGTGAAAACACCACACTGTACCCCAGAAGTGCATTAATGTACACAGTTACCATTCAATTAAAAAAAAAAAAGAGAGAATGACCATCACAAAGAGACTTAAAAATAACCTTTTACTGCCAGTAAATTCTGTTTTCATCACCCTAGAAGTTGTCATGAATTGATTAATGTTAAGGTCTCTGAAGAAGATGCTAGCACAGTTCAGGGTGCTGCTGTGAAATCTGCACTCAGATTCCGTATGTTAATTAGGAAGACTGTGAAAAAGGGTGAAGATATCCCCAGGAAGTGATGCTGATAAAACACATTATATTAAAGAAACTTCTGTGGATATTTCACAACATTAAACATGCAAAGATAAAGGCTGGGCAAGGTGGATCATGCCTGTAATCCTAGCACTCTGGGAGGCCAAGATGGGTGGATTGAGTTTAGGAGTTTGAAACCAGCCTGAGCCTGAGACCCCATTTCTAAAAATAGCCGGAATAGTCCCAGCTACTCCAGAGGCTGAGGCAAGAGAATCCCTTGAGCCCAAGAGTTTAAGGTTGCTGTGCGCTATGATGCCATGGCCTTCTACCAAGAGTGACAAAGTCTCAAAAAGGAAAAGATAAATTGCAAAGATAAAATGTTGGAAATCAGTCCAAAATTAAGAGTATGATAATTTGTAAAGATGGAATAGACAAGCTATAGGGTGAGAAGAAAGCACTGTTCAAACTACTTTTGGTAGGTTTTTTTTTTTAACAAAGAATAAAGCACTGATTCTTCATGTTTCTCATGTTTTAAGTTAGAATGGACTAAATAAATATTAGTGCCGCCTCGGTGCCTGTAGCTCAGTGGCTAGGGCACCCACCACATACTCCAGAGCTGACAGGTTTGAATCCAGCCTGCCAAACAACAATGACAACTGCAACAACAAAATAGCCGGGTGTTGTGGCGGGTGCCTGTAGTCCCAAGTACTTAGGAGGCTGAGGCAAGAGAATTGCTTAAGCCCAAGAGTTTGAGGTTGCTGTCAGTTGTGACACCATGGCACTATACCCAGGGCAACAGCTTGAGACTCTGTCTCAAAATAAATATTAGTGCCATTGTTTTTAAAATCCATATATATTTACAACTATTAAAGAGATTTTGATGTTTCAACAAAAGTGCTTAAATGTCAGAGACAATTGTTAAGTTTTCTCTTTGATTATTAAGATCACTTTGCATGATTTTAACTTCCATGGTCATTTTTATAGTTCTGGTCTATCAAACAAAGCTAGGACTGGTTATACTCTGGCTTCTCAATTCCTTGACGAGTTCTCATTCAATGGCCCTTTCCTTCAGCCCACCTTAATTTACCTGCTAGCCTTTGTTTTCTAACAAGTTATGTAATCATGCCCTGTCCTTCCCAGCTCATCACCTCTAGTATCATGAAGATAGATTTCTTACTGAAATCTCCTGCTCACTGGCTTGTCCCACCATTCATAACCCTTTCATTTTCTTCCTCTTTCAGTTTAGACTGCATGGACCATAATCACTTCTTCACAAAAGGGACAAACAGCCCAATTCCTTTGCTTCTCTTCCTTACCTGGGGAAATCTGTTCCTGAAGGACCTCCATTGTCTGCTTTGTCCAAGCCTAAATCCAAGTAGCTAGACTTGACCAAGAACATTGCAAAACCAGATTGACTAGTTTCACTTTAATTCATGACCAGAAGCCTAAAGTAGGCAAACCGCTTGGCTTCCTAGAAACATTGCTTTCCTACTCTCTGACATACCTTCTCTCCCCGAATCTAATTTCCTGCCTTTATTCACTTTCAGCTGACTCTCTTATATTTCATTAATGAAAGGAAAGGTATGGAGGGCAAAACCTTTCAAGTATTCTACCACCCACTTGCAACTGCAGCCACCTGCTTCTGCCTAAGGCTTATCCTGACACAGTGTTCTGGCCTCTGCTGACCTCTCTGGTGCCTTCCAGCAGAATCTCTGTGACATGGCACCCTCCTGCTGAGTCACCCTTGTCAGTGTGCAGACTTGCACTAGTGTCTTACATCTTTAATAACACTTGGCTGAATGGCAGCACCTTTATAGCTGACCTATTCCTTTTCACAATAGAACCTCTCAGAAGAGCTGTCTCTATTCTGGCTTCCATCCCTAGCCTCCCATCCTTCCCTCAGTCCACTTAAGTTTAGTTTCTGAAACCATCACTCCCCTGAAACAGCTTAAGACAGTCAAGACTGCTAAATATCCCAAGTTGCTTACTACAAAAGAGGAACACTTCTCTGCTGTCCCCTTGACTTCTCTCCTGAGGCCAGTCCCTCTTTTTGAAATACCTTTTATCTTTTTGGTTTCCAATACTTGAGCTTAGTTTTCTTTCTCCAAGTTGAGTATCTCTGGACTTCCTGGCCTTGGGCCCTTTTTTCACTTATATCTATGTATTCTAAGTAGTAGAATGTTACGTTTTTTTCCCCCTTTGCCTAACTCAGGGCCTAATTTAGGAAACAGGCTGCTTCTGACGAATGACTGTTTCCTTCTATCCTTATCATCTAACATAGTTCTTAGCTCATACTTGGTTTGTCATAAAATAACCTTGGACAATGAATGGTCATTATTATTATCCTACAAATGAGGAAATGGAGAGTCAGAGAAATAAAATAATTTACCTGTGATAATACAGCTGGTAAGTGGCACAGCTGGGATTGAAACCAAAGTCTTAACTCTTTGTTTTCTCCATTACATTGGCTAGCCCCTGTTTGACCTCTAACTTCTAGAATTCACTTTCATTTACCCTATTCTCAAGCCAAACTGGAGTGATTGATGCACCTGAATGTGCCTCCTGTTTTCTCGCCTCTCAGCCTTTGTTAGGCTTGAAACCCAATTTCCACTTCCAATTACACATCCACCTATTTACAACCTATCTTTTTTTTTTTTTTTTTTTGAGACAGAGCCTCAAGCTCTTCCCCCTGGGTAGTGCCGTGGCATTACAGCTCACAGCAACCTCCAACTCCTGGGCTCAAGCGAGTCTCCTGCCTCCGCCTCCCAAGTAGCTGGGACCACAGGCGCCCGCCACAACGCCCGGCTATTTTTTGGTTGCAGCCGTCATTGTTGTTTGGCGGGTCCGGGCTGGGGATTCGAACCCGCCACCTTAGGTGTACGTGGCTGGCGCCTTAGCCGGTTGAGCTATAGGCGCCGAGCCTTACAACCTATCTTTTAAGGTGCTTTTCAAATTCTATGTTGATCTTGAAATCTTCATTTTTAAGTTGTTAGTAAATTTTCTAGCATCTAAGTTGCCTCTAAGTACAATTATACTTTTGCATCACTTTCTTTTAGCACTGAAGCTGCCTGTGGGCAGGTATCCTAACTCATACTATGGCTCCTTAAATATTCTGCCTTTCCCTGCACATCAGCAGACTGTATCAGGCATTTGTGGACTTGTAATGAAATGATTTAAATCTCATTTGATCTTCTCAACTTAAATAACAAAGATCTTACATAAATTTATGTGGGCACTGAAATGCAGAATACAGTGCCATAGTAAACTGTTCAGGGAGGTAAAAGGCGGCAAGGATTTTTAGAAAGAAAAATTACAGAAGTTGCTTTGAAACAATTATCTTTGGCTACAAAGATCAGTCCAAAGCTGGACCTACCAGTTACAGGCAGATGTCTTTGCCTAAGTTTTTTGCGTTGCCATCTCTGATCTGATGTAATTGAAAAAATCAGGAAGGAGCAGGCCAGGTCGCATAATGTGATCGGCTGAAGTAACCTTTTGTTTTTCCAAGCGCTTCCCTGCTGCGTGTGGGCGATAGCAGTGACTCGGAAGCCATATTGTACCTTCCAAGATCATTCTCTACGGTCACCTGCACTCAGCTCCTAACCAGGATGTGGCATCCTGGTCATCTTAACACAGTTGCCTCCCACGCGTTCTTTAAAGGTTCCGTTCCTAACTTTTTGCTATTTTTAATGAAGTCTTAGAAGTGACCTGTGAAGCCTGAGTAGTATTGATAATCAATTTGGTGCAAACAAAGCAGCCAGTTATTCCCTTGGTTCTTATCCCAGTTCCCCCCACCGTGCGTCCCGCGCCCATCCCCTAGGTCGGGCTCTCCCACCCACGGCGATGGCCCCAAGCGCGCAGGCCACGTCCGTCCCCTCCACGCTGTGTGATTTCGACTCGTGCTGCTGGGGTGCGGGTACTCCCCACAAGCAGGCCGGAGATGCCCTGGGCATCCCACGCCCGGCCGCAGGTGGCCCCGCAGGCTACGGAGAACAAAGGCGGATCCGGGGGCGGGGACCCCCGGAAGGGGCGTAGTGGGGTGGGGACAAGGCCCCGGATTAGGAAGGGTGGGGGCGGGACGGAGGACCCCGGGACGGAGAAGTGTGGGGGCGGGGCGGGCCCCCGAGAGAGGCGGGGACCCCCGGGATGGGACGGGTGTGGGGCGGGGCGAGCGCCGCGGCGGAGCGGGAGGAGAGGGGCTGACGCGTGGAGGGGCCGGGCCGGGGGCCGCG